TTATTGTCTTATATACTAAATTAGTTTTATAGTATTTGTTTTATTACAGTTGAACTTTATTGATACGCAGCATCTCATTGTCAATAGGTATAAATTATTCTGCCTACATGGTTCAAAACCAACGTACGAAAGTATTATTTCGTTATGCAATTAAAAATTTATTGATAATCATGACTTCTGAAGTCTTCATCACATACAAGTGATACAAGGCATGTATTAATGTATTTCCAGAATGACATGTGCTGCAACTGCATACTATTTCGACTAAAACAACCCTCGCCGCTTGTCTCCATTAGCGCAATGCAGCCAAGACTTGGTAAAGAAAATATGAGGAAATGTAAGTCATATTGAAGTAACACACTATATAGCATAAACTTCGAGGTGTTGACAACCGATGGAGATAAACGTTTTCTAACGGATTCCTTCTGTCAGTGTTATCGTATCTGAACAGTAAATAAAAATTATGTTATATGTAGCATTATCATCATCATATAGAAATATTCACAATTTAAATATATCTCTTATTGTCTTTATTATTCTCTAATTAACCACAATGGTTATCATTTAACCTATATTAACCTATATAATGATAGTCTAAAAACAATTACTTAGTGAGTGATGTTAATGGTAAGAGGTTATTGTCATGACCCATATACCAAGATAAACCTGTACCTCTAAAACTAGGAACCTATCCTATTCCAGTTGTTACAGTTACGTGTCTCTGTTTCCTGTTGATAGCTACTGGATGTAATGTTCTGTAACCCTTAGTGCATATACGTTGATTTGAGCTATTTCACGTTGTTGTTCTGGATGTAATGTTCTGTAACCCATGGTGTATATATGTTGATTTGAGTTATTTCACGTTGCTAAGTCTGTGTGTGATACAGCTTGCCCGACAGCCCCAAATAATAATGTTTGCCTTTCAAGTGGTGGCAGGGTAATCCGCTCCAGTAGAGATCTCGCATCCATAAGATGGGTGCCGGATGCATCAAAGTAATGATACGGCCATATCAAAATATTGATAGTAGATTATGATAAGAACAGTTGCATTGAAATCCAAAAAAATAAAATTAAATGTCGTAACTGCATAATTGGCTTACAGAATATTCCGTAGGTGATTGCAGGTCTTTAATAACAGATACATGACATTTGTGACGAATTAACCTTTGACATTTTCACAACTTTTAAATGAAAGGTCTTGTAAAGTCAGACGATTATGTTTACCCGCCATCAATATCTGTCGTTATTCTATTAAGTTGATATATTAAAGTTATTTAATACTGCACATAGTGAACTGAAATCAGATTTAAGCTATCAGACATTCTATGTTTACGGTCTATCTATAACTGTCTTCAGTTAATTGAGCTGTATCAGATATAACACATATAACATGCAGTATGTTGATACAGTGTGATCTAATAACTCAACAGACACTTGAGACTAACTTCTCAACCGTAATCTTACCTTACTAGAAAATAATGTGACATTTTACCAAAAAGTTATTATAAAGGATATTGCACATGAAAGAGGGTGTCCTTTAGAGACCGATTGGAATACAGAACGCAATTAATCTAATATTGTGACACAACGCTCTGGTGGTTTTAGTACATAAGTTGAGAACTTGACAAGTGTAAAGAATAGTAACTTATGTGTTAAGGTTAGTAAAAATGTATTTTAACTAAGTTATCATCTCGTATTATCAATATTGTCAGTGAAACTTGTGGAATGATGGCAATGATGTAAGAAAATTTCTGGGAAAATAATTTGACTGCCTCCAGCCTATTGAAATATATCTCTTTAATCTGGTTATAGAGTTAGAATCAACAAGAAACATATTGTATTGAATCAATATCATTTCATTTATCTTTTTATAGTCAACACTTCATTTAAATCAAAATATACTATACAAGTTATCTACCCTTGAGTCAGAATTTAAATGAATGCAAGTGCTTGTCGAGTGGATGAAGACTATATTTACCTCCCTTGTTGACCTATCCGCCTCCTTCATGTCTTATCACTCCTTCATTATAATATACTAGTTTGAAGTATGTATTCTATAGATTTTTGTACAAGTGTCGATATACACTGCGGTTATTGGCAATTTCAATATTTATCACATCATACAACATGTTAAAAATCGAACACTCGACAGTAAGTTATGTTGCTTGAATCAAATATATATTGCTGCTGTCGATCTTCAGATACGCAAAACATGTTACATATTTACTCATAATACTGAGTTTACCAGTCTTAATTGTCGGAAAGATAACTCAACTTGAAACGGTTGATCTTTTTGTATTTCTATCAGATTTAACTCTAGAAAAATCCAATATGTAATACAAATTCAAATTGTTGAATAAATACAAATTTATTTAGCTTTCAGTAGTACCTCATAGACTCACTGTGGTGTCATTGTTGTTTAGCTTCACAGAGGAGTTTTCAAATTGCAAATTAATACTATCTTAGTGAAGTACTCCCATTATGAATTTGTATTGATCACTGATACAGCTCGAATCGTTTCCGCAGTAATTTACGTAAATCATAAACGAAAACGAGATCGGATTGACAATCTGCAATTCGTCAAATACATGCAGTTAAAAATTTCTGATGGCTGGTAAAGCAAACACCATTGTATTTCAATCACAGTACATGTATATTGATTATAATTCACATTCACAGTACAATTAACGTTTTACATGTAAGTGTTCAGTTTGTGATTTTCGATTAACTCAACAGGTGCTGGTTGACACTATCCGCGGTGTGTTTCTATAAATAAGTCGAAACTCAGCTGTGGTACGGGGAACATTCCATCTATTATTGTATAATAATAGCATAAAAAATATCTTAGTTTACTTCTAGCACGGAATCAATAATGATCAAATCAAGTAGTTTATTTAATAAAAACACCTGATACCACTCTTTGTCTGTGTTTGCCAACTCAGGTCCACTTTGTGGGGAACTACAGCTATTACTATGTTATTTGTTTAATCGTACCACATTGAGTATAAAAGATTATGCTGATGCCAATTTTTCTCGATTGAAAGTACCTATTTGGCTAGACTAGGTAAAAAAGACAAATGCTTTGCCAGCTCTCACAGACAGCAGCAGCTTGTAAGACAGAAAGGATATGGATAATACCTTCAGTAGGATTTCAAGGAGTAAAACATAGAAAATGTAGATGTGGATTGTAGGGTGTTAAATGCGCGTGTGATTATGTAGGTTATTATGGTATACGCAATACGTTTACTATTTCTTATTTTCACATGTTCACATGATCGCAGTGAGGCAGTGACACCAAGAAAGTTCTTATCATTATACTGTGTGTGGATTATTAGTGGTTATATTTGTGGTTCATTGTTGAGGTACATAGGCCTACTATTTGTAACCAATTAAAGTGAATGATTACAGTGGGCCCAGTCTGAGATTTCCAGTACATGTACGTTTTCCTATTTCATTGTTTTTTCTGGTTATATGCAATTTTGTTTTTAATCAGCGATATTTATTCTTATTAAGTTTTGTTATAATCAGTGCCGTGAGCAAACAAACCGGTCAATATGTAAGTTCGTATATCATAATGTCACATACTTTGAGTGTGTCACATTTTGGCATTGGTTTGTATGTTTCAAAAGAGGACGTTCAGAGGACTTGACAGGATTGAAGATTATAATTCACAGCATGCTATGTTCGAGTTTAGAAATTCAGCTGTATTTATTTACTGTCTACGTTATTAATTTGAATCTAAATCTAAATCTATGATGGTAACTGTTGACGAGTGCCTTATGTACTCTGCAAAGTCGATGTCAAGTTTACATTGATTACGCTGCAGTTAACACCAGTATGGAAGTATATTTATCCTTTAATCTATACTACATAATTACTCAACCTTGACTTGCAATTTTGTTCGATTTTGAATGATCTTGGTGGATTGTGTCATTTATATTTCGTTAATGTAGTTTCGCGGAGAATGTTTTGTTACTTTTCTTTAAATATTCTCAACTTTCGTCAATTGTAAAGGAAATTGGATTTGACATAAATATTATAGCAGTAGCCGGTGTCGCGCGCAAAGAAGATCTCGCTTACTCTTTCCAAAACACCTGATGGTACTTCTCTTTGGCGGAGTCCACTTCTATACAACTTTTACTCCCGATTTCGCAATTCTTTGGAAGAGATTGACGGAATTGTCTTGCTTATACGGATTTTTAGTTTCATTTGAAGTTCTCTGCTATGTGGTTATCGCACAGTGGGCTATATTTCTATGGTAATGAGACGTACTATGTGTGTTGGGAATTTCCGTTGGAAAACGACAAGACATTGAAACTGTTAGATATATCATTAATTCATATATTGCTGTGTTTTGACATATATAAATAAGTTTTCAGACATGATCAATATTGCGATCCATTGCACAACGATGTGATAACAACTCATATGTTTAGAGCTGCGAGACAAGTTTTACATATCTTAATATACAATAATAAAATATTTCCACCCATAAAACAGTATTTAATACATTAGTTGTAGAGCGATATAGAAAACTGAATATATGTATGGTATTCGGATGGAACCGAACCTTTTTTCCATTATCATCATGTTCTATAATGGTTGGTAAATGAGACAGTTCACGGTGTTGTTGCCGCTATTCCGATAAGACTTACCTGCAAGAAGATGCAGCACCAAAATTCCTTACAACCAAACTCAACTGCTTTTAGAGTTAACAACAAACTTGAACAACAAAATTGAACTGATTTTCACTTGTAGCCTTTCTGAATCAATATTTACATTTTATTTGATATTTATTTTCTTTAACTTGTTTTCATTTTATAATTTCAGGTGAAAGAATCAAAATGACCGAGAAACAAAATAGTTTGATGATCAGTCTCACTTAACAACCTGAGCCAATACTAGACTACGGAATGGATGTAACACAAGTAGTTAATACAACACTGAATTGGACGCAGTCTGATACTACAGCTGCGAAACAGGAGCTCGATTCACTTGATATGTTTCTGTTAGTTTTAAAAGGAACTGCAATGGTGGCCATCATGTTCGGTGCAGTGTTCGGAAACTTGCTGGTGATTACCAGTGTAATGAAATTCGAACGCTTACGAGTGATAACAAATTATTTTATAGTTTCACTTGCTTTTGCTGATTTATTGGTGGCCATTCTTGTGATGCCATTCAACGCCTTCAATGAAATCAGCGAGAAATGGTTATTTGGTAGAGTTATGTGCGACATATTTAACGCTAACGATGTGTTATTCAGCACGGCTTCTATTTTACATCTCTGTTGTATCAGCATGGATCGTTATATCGCCATATTACATCCATTACAATACGAAACTAAAATGACGAAAACACGTGTGGCTATCATGTTAGCTGTCACGTGGGTGGCGTCCATTTTGATTTCATATATTCCCATCCAATCACAACTGTACACTACTAGTGAGAACTACCAGGCCCTGGAGAGTGACCATCATGCCTGTTTGTTTATTGTGAACAGGGTGTACGCTGGAGTGTCTTCGTGCGTGTCATTCTGGATTCCATGCACCATCATGGTGTTCGTGTATGCCAAAATCTACATGGAGGCGCGAAAACAGGAGAAATTCATCCAATCAAATGCCGTGTACATGCAATATAGCCATAGTGTAGGAAGTGAACGTAATCATAGTAATGGTTCGATTCAAGAACGTGACGCTCAGAGATTCGAAAGAAAGCGAATGAAGCGTGAACATAAAGCTGCTAAAACATTAGGGATTATAATGGGCGCCTTTATTTTATGTTTTCTACCTTTCTTTTCTTGGTACGTTATAACATCAATGTGTCGTGAAAAATGTCCGTATCCTCCAATCCTAGGATCCATTTTATTCTGGATTGGATATTTCAATTCATGCTTGAATCCAATTCTTTATGCCTACTTCAACAGAGATTTTAGAACCGCTTTCAAAAAGATTTTAAGACTAGATAGATCGAATTGTGATATGTTCGACCCGACCACCCAGGCGCTCAATACTGCTTATAACGATTTAAAGGAAAGCAATCACCTTCGTACGTCCGTGTCGTAATGTCCAGTTCGTGTTATTTAAAGGCGAAATGAGTAAAAACAGAATAGGGTTGTGATGAAATCAAAAGTGCTAAAATTGATATCTGTGATCTTCAAGGGCAGGTAACTCTGATATGAATTCTGCGAATGATACTCTACCGTATCGCTTTTCGACCTTCCTATACGAACTGGGGTCTGCGTATTTTGACAGGAAATCCAGTGATTTAGATTTGACTCTTTCTCGAGGGTACACGTATATGATGATATTATAGATCCAGTTTCTATAGTCTCGAAGTGATTTCTCTTTTGAAGTTTTGTCAAACTTTGATGAACGCATACATGTATGGTAAAATGAGATTATTAATTAAAACTCAGAATACAATGCTTCGGAGGCTCATTTTGAAACATTAAAGAACTGTTACTTCAGGAGTCACTCCGCTGTCATTAACAAAATTGCGATGCTATTTCATTGACCTTTATTTGCGCCATTCCAGAAAAAGATCCCGCTTGGCGCCCCGATCGATCTTAGGAGAAGGAGAAACAACTCTTGGTGATTAGAATGACAATGTGTTTACCGCTCTCTGTGATAAAGGGGGACAACTCAGGGTAAAATATAGTGATCAAGGTTCACATTTTATGTTAATTAGCTGATGGTGAAAACTGCTGTCAGACCAACAACAATTTAATATAGTGCTGTGTGTAATATTATTAAGTTATTGCCCTTGATATTGAGGGTTATTTGTTTTCATTGTTACATCATGTGTCCTGAATCCTATGTCCGTCACTGACAAGGAAACTTAGTCTGAAGCTTGCTGATTCTCATCTATCACTTATAACGCTTTAAACGGTTAACGGGCATATTTCCATTTTAAAATGTTGGTTTAAATCGATTTCGAAAACCATATCTAGCTTCACACTTCTGAATATATATGAGCATCAAAAAAAGCTAACTATGTTATCTTCTATATCTAAAAACCGTTAAAATTAAATTTTTCGAAAGCAGTTGGAAAATCCCATTCAAATTGAGTCATCTAATCGGCAACAATTTAAACGCCGGCAAGTCTCAGACTAGAAGATACTGGAGTTGTTTTAAACTCTACTTTGTTGTTGTTGAATTCTCGCTTTGCACCATTTTTACATCTCATCCAAGTAACCATTTCGCACACCATGTGAGAGCCAATTTGTTTATTAAGAGAATGTAAGTAATGAATTTTACGCATGAATTGATTGTGGATGTAATGGTCTGAAATTAGCTTTTCTTTTTCAGTGTTGAAGTGCGAAGAAGTACCCATATTACATATTCACATCCGTCAGTTATAATGGCAATAACCTTACGTTGTTTTTAGTTAGGAATATAATTAAACTCTCCCTTACTCTAGCTATATTGAAAGGGTATAATATGCATTGTGCCAAGTACTTGTTATCTAGAAGAATAGTAAAACACTCCAAATCACACCCTCAGTAAATCAGTAAATCGACACGCAATGCTGATTAATTTATTGGGAACATGGGTAATGTATAATCCAATAGTTTGCACAGTCGGACTTTACACAAGCGTCTATGTTAATTATCAAATATTTTGCAATGTCTATATTCAGTTGAATTATCAATGTCATAAACTGACATCTCCTTGAAGTTCGTAATATTGTCGGAAACATTGATCGCAATATAACCAGCAACAATCGGCGGTTGAAAGGAACAATATGTAGATAAATCTTTGGATCCAATGGATCTATGGGTATACATATACCCTCAAGAAATGAAGGACAAAACTTAAGATCATTACAGTTGGCATAGGTAAATACGTTGATCAAGGCTCATGAAATTGCGTCAATGGTGGAATATATCTGAAACTTTTACTTATATTACATTTTTAATTTAAAGTTACTAATATCATAAACTTGCATTAAGGGAAGTATACAATTGTTTAAACAAAAGATATGAAATGGGTCAGGTATTTATAAGATGTTAATGTAGCTACCGTTTGTCAATCTATGGCAATGTGTAGAATTGTAATGTGTAATATTGAACTAGAAACATAATAGGGTTCAGAGCAGGAAGCATAAACATTGATTTAATTAAGTTTCTTCTGTTGAACACAGAACAGTGGTTGTGATATTAATGTAGGTCTAGAATCACTGAATCAGCAGGTAGTTGTAGAGTTATTTTGAGGATGTTTCACGTGGTTTTATTTGTCTTTTAGTTTGTAATTAATACCGATATTCTTTAATGACTATCTACAATCCCATTCGAAACTTCCGCGACAATTTTAGTTTGAATATTATTCAAAGTTCTTTCTAATAACAACAATAATTGAAAACATGTCTATACTGCCATCCTGCTTTAAAACTAGTTTCCATGTATGCAAAAAGTAAATAAAGTTTTCTCTATATTCATTGAACACGTAAAACTTCGTCGGTGTCATCTTTATTGATGCATGTATTATGTTTTGAATAATAACAACACAAGTTCAATACGCCTGGTGTGTATTATAGAAATTCATTTATTAGCGAGAATCAATTTACATTAACAAAACAATCAACAAAATTGTGTTTGATTTTCATACATAAGACGCACATAATCGTAATTATTCGAGACATATTTCTTTGTTGCCTATGACTCCGTAGACAGACTATACAATGTGATTAATGTTAATGAAGGCGAATTTCAGTCATTAGACCAACCTGTCTGTTAGATCCCTTAATGAATTTATTAACTTTGATGAACAAACGAACTCTGCCAAAATCTTCGTAATTTGTCGAATGGCATTGATCAGACTGCAACAGGGGGCTGTCTTAAATCTCTGATATTTATGTTTATGTACAGGAAAGTTGTCTAATTAGATAGTTTCCAAATAGGACAAATGTCACGTCTGAGATTATCCAATGTTATAGTTTATATCATAGAATTGTGCTGAGTATTACAAATTGGATATAACCCATATTGATGCCTAGAAACACTGGACATATAGAGACTTGAAGCAACATAAGCGTAGATGGTGTTCTGCTGATCCGAAGATTTTGATAGGATCAAATGTGATCAAGAGCAGAGCTTTTCAACGTTAATTTTTGTCATGTTTTGCTGGATGAGGTTTTCTCTCATTTTTTATCAATTGAATGCACTGCTAATCAGTTGTCACCGATCATCGACCATGTTCATCGTTCACTATTTATTATCGATTATTGTTGATCTGTCATAGATTTATTGATTAATTTGCGCCAAAAGAAGTGTTATTATAAACAGTTTAATATCTTTACAACGATCTGTGACGCCATTCTTCTGTCGTCGTGTAGACTGATAGAATCCTGGACAAAGATCAAAACCTTCAAGAGTCGTATTTTCTTCATCTTTTGATGGGTATCATGGGGATACACGTAGCTGGCTAAAATTAACCCCTTACAAGTATATAGCATACCTCGATGTTCTTTGTGACCATATGATATTTGCGTTTAGAATATAATTTAAGCTACTAAGCTGTAGAGAAGGCGTCAGTGATCGGTTTAAAGATATTATAAAACTGGTTCTGTGTGTATTGTAAGTAGTTTATATCCCGGTTAAGATCACTTCACGAGTTACTGCCCTTGTAGCAGAACTTATGTTAAACATCAATTAAATAGATTCCCCCTGTTAGCTATATCCCTAAATCTTGCTTTAACATGGTATTCTGGCGCATGTGGTAGTGACTATCCAGATGGTATGAAGTTTGACCAAAATTAGATAATTAGAGTTTTTGCGACATTGGTCTTTAGATTTCGTGAGATATGATTCCCATTGGCGGTGATCCATCTATGTTTCAATAGCGTTCCGGAGATCACATTAGACATGCAAATACACCTGTACGTACACCAAGTCTAAATGTCAATCAACAAATTGTCATTTTCAACAGTTCTCATTCGCTACAACATGAATTGTCCCAAGATTAAAGCAAGAATTAGCACACATAGCCCTTAGATCACTCCACGTCAGATTCGAGGTCTTTTGTTTTCTTTTTGGTTCTAAAATATGCTTCTATTTTTCTACCCTTATTGATGAATAAATATCACGTGATTGATCATGTGACTATTATTAATTGTTCATCCAATTGTTTGTTTTGTTTTGAATTGTGCATAATTGGAATAAAGCGATTTGAAATAC